TACTCAACCGATTTCAATGAAATTCGGTATATAATATTTTCTTAACACCCTGATGACATGCACCAAATATGGGTGAAATCGGTTCACAACCACGGTTGAAATCTCAATTGTCACTTTATCATGCGAGAGTATAAAATGTTCGGTGACACCTGAACTTAGCCCTTCCTTACTTGTTTTGTTTGTGTTTGTAATCCATTTATTTATTTTTTTGTTTTTTAGGTAATTTTTTGTATGTTAAATTTATCATGAAATTTATATTTTCTTTTAATATTTTTAGCATGTATACTAGGGTGATTAAAAAAAAAACTCATAGGTTTTTGGAGAGGTTTTCTTAGAGGTGTCTACCTCTGTGAATGGTAGGCACCTTGTCGTGGTGCAGAGGCTTAAACCGCAACACAGCACGGCATCTCCCAACCACCAGGGGTGATTCTGCATAGCATCTCTCCTGAGGGCTGGCAGACGCTGCATGTGTGCGGCGACCAAGAGCTATCACCTCCTAATCCAGGGTGTTATGCGACCCGTGCCCATTGGATGATTTGCAGCCAGGAGGTAAATTCGGCTGTATTCGTACGGAGCCTTCCCAACACCGGGCGGCCTCGGGAAGTAACGGTGGCCTTACTGCGTCAAGGGGCTCTGGCGCAGCGGACTTTAAATTTCCCCTTACTAAAAATAGACCGGGAGGCTCACATTAGGGGCCAAACGGTCGTAAGAACAAGATGGATGAACAACAACAAAAACAACAACAACAACAAACAAACAACAACAACGACATCGACCAAAGCAACGACATCCATAGCAACGACGGCTAACAGCGGCGGAAGCGCTAGTACGACGAGGTAGAGTGGCCCAGGAGCTAGACGAAAGTTCAGCTTGCTGGATGCCTTGTCGTCGGAAGAGCGAGCACTCTTTGAGGAGCACGCACGCGACGACGACGACGTTCCCTCCTGCAGCGTCACTCAGCGCAGCGGGTCAGCCGCGAACACGGCAAATCGCGCCGACGATGACGCGCCCTCCCGCAGCGGCACTCAGAGTAGTGTGTCGACCGTGACCACAGCAAATCGCGCGAACGCCGGGCCCACGAACCCCTCGAGCAGGATCGACTGCGGAGAGGAGGGTGGTTTCACGAGAGTGGAATCAAGGGGCGAGCGTAAAAGAAAACGACAACGAGGGAACATTCCATGTACCCCGGAGCCAGGACGACCAGGAGGTCACGACGACCCACGTAGAGCGGGAATGAGCGGAGCCACTCTCAAGTGGTACCACAGATTCCTACAGGACGGCATGACATCGGAGACAGCGGAAAAGCGGGCTCTGAGTAGGAGCAAGATGAGAAATTCCTCTCCTAATAACGCACAACGCGCTAGTGTCAATCGTTCGTCTGCAACAAGACGCAGAAACCAAAGGAGTCGCCGAGCTAAAGCTGCCTTGTTGGTAGGACGAAGCGTAGCAAAGCCGGCGCCCCAAGAGGCACCGAGCCGTATGGAGAAAAAAAAAAGCGGTCATATAACTCCCCAAGAACCACCAAGGCCCAAGAGAATATGTGGAGACAGACCACAGGAAACTAGTGGAAAGTGTTCCTACCCCAACCAGCAACCGACGAGAACCGCCAGCCGGAAGTACTCTGAGGCTGTTAAGAGCATCCGGATGGCAGTGTTGCCCTGAAACTATCCAGCGGAGGCCCTAGGGTCCGAACAGCTGACGGCTCTCCAAGACTGCCTAGTTAATGCCCTATGTACTGGCAAAGGCTACACTGGCGCCTTCAACGGCATTTTCTTTAACGGCGGTATGCTGCTGGTCGACTGTCAGGAGGAAAGGTCGGCCACCTGGCTGATGGAAATCTCGCCAAGGCTAGAGGGTTGGAGTTGTCCAGCCCTGTGTGTGCGGAGAGGCGAGGCGATACCACAACTGCATAACATGGTGGCATTCTTCCCGAGGAGGGCAGATAAAACCCACGAATTCGTGCTTAATCTGGTGGGAAGCCAGAACGATGGCTTAAGCACCTCCGCGTGGAAGGTCGTAGCAGGCAGCGTTTAGGGTTCAGGGTGGAATCTCAACATGTCGATAGACGATGAATCCTATAAGTATATAAGGCAAAAGGGATTCAGGCTGAACTTCAGGCTCGGCAAAATTGTAGTGAGCCAAGAACCCACGACGGGGCGGAACGTGGCACCGGCTCCACCCGTAACCCGCCCAGCCGCGCATGAGGCGACTGCCGCTGTGGTTTCGGGAGAGCGGAACGAGTCCCCCAACGACCCCACCTCGGCTGGGCAGGCTGCGGCCACCGCCGCAGATGGAACCAGGAGCAACGAGCTCCCCAATGAGCAGGAAGACATGCCATCCACCCAAGAGCTTCTGAAAGGGCTGGAGATGCAGGTTGATGATGAGATCGAGGACGAGGACCTGTCTCTCATCGAACCTATACTATAGGCTCCAGTACCGGCATGGAAGTGGCTCAGGTGAACCTACATCACGCATCGGCAGCCTCGGCTGTCATCGTGAAGAGGTTCATCTCGGATAATCTGAGCATCCTCCTAATCCAGGAACCTTTTGTGTTCAAAGGAGAGGTAAGAGGCCTCAACTCGAGAAGAAGCAAGGTAATCTGGGGTCCCTCTAGCGAGAGACCCCGCTCCTGTGTAGTCGTTAGAGCCGATATAGACTTTTTCTGTATTTCAGAGTTTCTAACGCAAGATCTGGTGGCGGTACAGGTGAAGGACAAGGAAGGATCGGACTTCGTCCTCGCTTCCGCATACTTTCCGGGAGAGACGACCACAGCAGCCCCCCCATCAATACTCAGTCTAGTGGAATACTGCAGACGCAACAATCTTCCCCTAACGTTAGGATGTGATGTCAATGCGCATCACACGGAATGGGGTAGCACGGACTGCAACGTGAAGGGTGAGTCACTTCTTGAATTCATAATTAGTAACAATATGAGCATCGAGAATGTGATTTGTGAGCCCACCTTCGTAACCAGTGTTCGCAGGGAGGTCCTAGACATTACCCTGAGCAATGACAACATGATCGGGCTGATCTCACAGTGGCGGGTGTCAAAGGAGCCCTCACTGTCAGATCACAGGATCATTCGGTTTGCTCTGAGGGTAAAAGTCGCGGACAAACCTCCGACACGTACCCCTAGAAATACGAACTGGGGTATCTTCAGACCTTAAGTCATAATATAAGTGGAGTGGGGCAGGCGGATGATAGATCCACCACAGATGGACTGGAAAGCAGACTGAGTGCCATAACCCAGTCCGTTATGGACGCCTGCCTTTGTGCCTGTCTACTAAAAGCGAACACCAGCAAACAAATCTGCCCCTGGTGGTCTAGTAAACTCTCAGCTCTTACACTTAGGGTGCGTAGGTTGTTCAACAAAGCCAAGCGCACAGGCAGCTGGGAGGATTACAAACGGCACCCAACATTCTATAACAAGGAGATTAGGCTTGCCAAGACAAACAGTTTCAGGAAATTCTGTGATAGCGTCTCCTCGACCCCGGAGGCAGGTCGGCTGCATAAGGCGTTGTCGAAGGGCAAGACGGACACAGTATTATCACTAAAAGAAAAGACGGGACCTACACGACAAGCGCGGAGGAGAGGGCGGAAACACTCCTACAAACGCACTTCCCGGAGACGGTTCAAGCTGACCTAAATCCAGCCTCGGTCATACGTAAGCCAGATCGCTCAGATTGGCTGACTGCAAGAAACCTGTTCACTGCAGACTCAGTCAGATGGGCACTGACCTCCTTTTCAAGCTTTAAGTCACCGGGAGTGGATGGCGTCTTCCCGCCCTTTTGCAGCAAAGTATGGATAATCTTCTACCACACCTGCTAGGGTTGATGGGAGACAGCTTGGCGATGTCGTATATCCCTGAGCCATGGAGAATCGCAAAAGTAATTTTCATTCCCAAAGTAGGGAGGAGAGACTATTCGCTAGCCAAATCGTTCAGGCCTATAAGTCTCACATCCTTCATGCTGAAGGGAATGGAGAAAGTAATAGACAACCATATCAGATCAGAAGCGCTGAAGATCGCACCCCTACATACCAGACAACACGCGTACAGAGCGGGCAGATCCACAAACACTGCTCTGTACCAACTCACGTCTGAGCTGCAGGATTCGCTGAATAACGGCGAGGTTGCGATCTGCGCTTTCCTAGACATTGAGGGTGCCTTTGATAATGCATCTCACACTAGCGTTATCAAGGCACTTGAGAGAAGGAACGTACCCACCCCGATACGAAGATGGATAGAAGCCCTTCTGCGCACTAGGGTAGCAGAAACAACAGTGGGAGAAAGTAGGTTGCCCACAAGGTGGAGTACTATCCCCTCTATTGTGGAGCCTAATAGTAGACGAACTACTCGAGCTGCTCACCAGCAATGGAATCCGCTGTCAAGRATACGCGGACGACATTGTCATAATGGCGAGAGGCAGATTTGAGAACACCCTCTGCAACATTGCTCATTGTTCATTGCTTAAACTTGGCGAAAGGATGGTGCTATACAGTAGGGCTAAATATAAACCCAGCAAAGACCACCGTGATCCCATGTACTAAGCGGAAATCTCTCTTCCGGGCCTAAGATCCCTAACAATTGCAGGCACAGAGGTGGTAATGTCTAAGGAGGTCAAATTCCTGGGCCTCACCTTAGAATCATGGGGATGCAAGCCAAGTATCATCAGATGACTGTATACCATGATAGTAAGGCCTATCGTCACCTATGGAACGGCAGCGTAGTCTTCAGTGATCCGGAGACTGTCAAGGCTGCAAAGACTTACATGTGTCTGTGCTTCAGGGGCAATGAGCACATGTCCCACGGTGGCACTGGAAGTCATACTAGAGCTCACACCGCTGCATGAGGTGATCAAGCTAGCAGAAAACACACCATGCTGCTAATGTCAGCAGAAGGCTGTGGAAGAGGGAAGATAATGTCCTCTAGCTCTCCTCCCTAAAGACAGCACCACCAAGAAAATAAACTTCAAGAAGAACTTCACTCTAGGCAGCAAGACGGTGTGGAGTGATTCCGTGCTGGAAAGGCTGCTGGAAGACAGCACCATTCAGTGGTACACTGATGGCTAAAAACACAGGAAGGTATTGGGCAGGTATTGTGGGACCGCGTACCAAGCTGCCATACCTATGGGCAGCTTCCCAAGCATCTTCCAGGCTGAAGTTTTTGCCATTTGTCAGTGTGCTGAAGTCAACCACAGCCGCAACTATCGCAACCAGCGTATAGCTATTCTCAGTGATAGTCAAGCGGCACTAAAGGCGATCTCATCCTACGAGACCAAATCGCTTCTAGTCGAGGTATGCGTAGAGCGGCTAAACCGCCTGTCCTTGTGCAACCGGGTGCACCTAATGTGGGTACCAGGGCACAAGGGAGTAGAAGGTAATGAGAGGGCCGACGAACTGGCCCGCACTGCAATAGCGTCAAAGATGTTGGGACTGGAGCCATACATAGCGGTAGGACCCCACACTCTTAAAGAGCTGCTCCGCACGGAGGAGAGAGTGGAGAGAGAACGGTACTGGCGACAGGCAGCAAGTATGCGCCACGCCAAGCTGCTTCTAGGAGGATACAACCTCCCCAGATTTAAAGAACTAATTCACCTCCTCGTCGCAAWCTACACAGGGCACTGTAAGCTCAGGAAGCACCTGTCCAACATGGGCATGGTCTCCTGTGCTAACTGCCGACCTAATTCTGCGACCTGGAACAGGAAACACCAGCACACCTAATCCTGGATTTCTCAGCAATCTGTGGAAAAAGGCTCAAGGCCCTGGATTTTATTGCAATTTCCTGATTCTACATTAACTAGGCAGCATTGGGTTTTCTTTTATAATGGAATGATATGAATTCTTGTAGTAATCAATGGATTTGCTTACTTTTTCTTTAATGCCTAACAAGTTATTTTTTATGTTTAACATCCTAGTTTTTTCAGTTAGTGTATTATGTAACCTCTGAATGTCGGCGTTTCCAGTATGATTATTTGGTTTTGTTAGATGTAAATTTATATTTTCTATTCTGAGGTAATCCCTAATGTTTACGCTTTTAAATTCGTTGTCTGTTATCAATGCTTCAAAATGGCCTTTCTGTGATTGGTATTGTCTTAGTTTTTCAATTATTGTTTGGTGGTTTCTGTCCTCAAGATATTAGGCAGTAGCAAATTTTGAAAAGCGATCTATGAATGTTAAAAAATTTGATTTTGAATTCGTGTAAATGTCATATATATGATCCGATTCTTTTCTTTTGGGGTTTCGGTCATTGCGAACTTAGGTTTCACTGGTTTGCAATCGTATCTTATTCTATTGCATGTATCGCAATTATTAATATACTTCTGTATCAAAGTTTTTAAATTTGGATAATATATAAATTTTTTTAATCCTTCGTAGTTTTCATTAATACCAGTGTGACCTGTTTCATTTTTATGATACATGTGAATTTGTTTAAAGGTTTCGTTTTCTGAAGCCATATCTTTTGCGTTGTAAGAACATTTGAAAAATTTGAAATTTCTCTTATTTTTGTATATATCTACAATTTGTTGTTGTAAAATATTGTATTTTTCATCGTCGAGATCTGTATAAATTCTAATTCTTGAACCTGAAATGTTTCGTTCTAAAATTTGTTCTAAATTATTACTTAGATCTTCTAAACTGATGTAAATATTTCTTTTATTATTTATAATTTCGAATTCCTTACTTTTCTTCTTCTTCTTGATTGGCGTAGTCATAGTGGAGGTCTTCCTCTTCCTCTGCTTTCACCGGTGGGTACTGCGTCGAATACTTTCAGAGCTGGAGTGTTTTCGTCCATCTGGACAGCATGACCTAGAAAGCGTAGCCGCTGTCTTTTAATCCGTTCCATCGAATGCGATATTCGCCGTGGCCAAAGCGTAAAGGACCATAAATCTTTCGCAGAACTTTTCTTGCATCGCCCAAGCCTCTGCAAAATATAGCAGGACGGGAATTATGAGCTACTTATAGAGTTTGGTTTTTGTTTGCCGAGAGAGGACTTTGCTTCTCAATTGCCTACTCAGTCCGAAGTAGCACCTGTTCGCAAGAGTTATCCTGCGTTGGATTTCTAGGCTGACATTGTTGGTGGTGTTTACGCTGGTTCCAAGATAGACGAAATTATCTACAACTTCAAAGTTATGACTACCAACCGTGACGTCAGTGCCAAGTCGCGAGGGCGACGACTGTTTTTTTTTTTTGATGACAGGAGATATTTCGTGTTGTCCTCGTTCACTGCCAGACCCATTTATGTTGCTTCCTTGTCCAGTCTGGAGAAAGCAGAACTAACGGCGCGGGTGTTGTGGCCGATGATATCGATATCATGAAGAGAATAGAAGAGTTGATGTGATTACTGAAAGAAAATCTGTTGTCAAAGGTTACCCAAAGATCTTTGATTTCAGTAACGCATTTTAGGACGCAATTAGAAATATTGTAGCTTGTGGATAAGATGTTACGTCCCCTAACATGAGAGATCTGAGAGCACTTATCTAGATTCAGAAAAAGGTTCGATTTCAGGCACCACTCATAAAAAGTATCAATATCAAATTGAAGTTTGAATACATCTTATGGGTTTTTGATTCTTGCAAAAAAGTCATCTGCATATAAGAGAAAGTTAGCGAAAGAGAAGCAACAGGAAATATCGTTGATAAACAGCACAAAGAGAAGTGGAAACAAGACGCTTCCTTGCGGTACTACTGAGGACGTAATGAATGTATCGGATGACACTCCATCGACACTGACAACGCAGCGTCTATTGTGCAGAGATGATTTATCCCACAGCAAGAAAACAGAGTGAAACCTTAAAGATGATAATTTTTTAATTAGAATATTGTGTGAAACTTTATCAAAGACTTTAGAGAAATCTGTGTAGACACAACCTACCTAAAATCCAGCGGAGAATGCAGACATATAGTAGAATCGCTAAAAACCGCTAAGTTTGATACAGTGGAGCGCCCAGAGACAAACCCATGCTGATTGACATCAATTATTGATTTTACTGCAAAAAATTATTTATTTTTAACAAACTACTCAAAAATTTTCGAAACAGCTGAAAGTTTAGAGATAGACCTGTAATTGAAAACTAGATCCTTTCTACCACTTTTAAAAATAGGGGAGAGAGATTTGCTGAAGATAAGCATGAGAAATGCATGAGGCATGAGATATACCAAGACAGCAC